AGCCCACATTGACGGGTTAAAAAACAGCCAATGCAAATATCTGCGAATTTGAGAGAATCATTTGCTGCAAAGTCAAAAGCACTCACACTACCACTACCACACACTATCACTAGTACTACCACTGACGTTGCGACTACACCTACTGCTGTAGCTGCATGCTTCTCTCCTGTGCGCGCGGTGTCTGTCAATTTCTGTCCCTCCCTCTCTCTCTTGCTGGCTCTGTCTCTCTCTCTTTGTATCCCTTGTAGGGTAGGCATTATAATATCATAACTGGCAGTTAGAATAGTATAATAGACTATTATAATAATTTATTGTTACAATGTACCATGATTAATTGAGAGCTTGGAAACATATAGTGATGTATGGATTATGGTAACAATTTCAAGTAACTGTGAAAAATAGAAGAGACGATTTAGAATGGTCGAGTGGCATCGAATGCAGGGCACGTAATAAAATTGCAAAACCTAAACTTAACAGTCACGATACCTCACACAATAAAATCGGTTCCAACCACCATATGCTGCTCTATTCACAAGCTCATGCCAATCCCCTCACAGTGTATAGTGTATACGCAATACGTTTCTGTTCTACTTTCTGTTTACGTTCGTGGAACGGTTAGTTTACGTTTCAGCTAACCTCATGGTTAAACACTACAATCCCTCCCCTTTTCAAACGAAGATGATTTCAATTTGACGTTTGCTAAATATCAAATTAGAAACTCAACTTTACTTATACGGAGTTCGAATCACCCTGGTTAATATAGAATCCAGTGTCTGTGTGTATAATTAACGTGGAATAGTAGTCATGGTTTTGTCAGGTACTGTTATAAAAATAAACCTACATTCTTCTACCTGTATGTCAGTTCGAAACGCGTATCACTATCCTGACAAAATGAGTGCGTTTCCTACGTACTTCGTATAAGCTATACGCGTATAGCGGACGTGTGAACGACCGGGTATAGCTATACGCGTATAACAATAGGAAACAAAGCGCTGTCGACGGTCTACGAGAACATGTTAGTATTAAGACAGTTGTTAAGACTAATTTTGTTTTTGACAACGGGCCCCTGGACATCATCTCTATCCTTGAACCAATTAATGCATAAAGTTATAAATGTGGCATAATTGGTTGTGACATGTATATAGAATGACTGTCACAAACATGTAATTTGTTTTCGAAAATGGGTTACCGTATACTGCATGGTACCAGCAACAGCACACAGTTGTTGTTGACTACATGCAATTTTGTAATGCCATAAACTATATTACACTATTTGTGTACAGCGACGTACGTAAATTCCAAAACTACGTGTGAACGCTATACGGTCACGCGTCAAGGTCACGCTATACAGACAAGGTCACGCTATACGCGTATCGTACGGAGTCCGTGAGATACGCGTTCGAAACTGGGTTTTACGGTACGTGTGAACGTGCTTATAGCTATACTCAGTTCGAAACGCGTATCACTATCCTGACAAAATGAGTGCGTTTCCTACG